GGGGTTAGAGCGCAACAGTACAGCAAAGCAGGGTGTTTGGCGTGCATGCAGCCAACCCAGGTTCGATCCTTGGCATCCCATATGGTCCCCCAAAAGCCACCAGGAGTAATTCTTGAGGGCAGAGCCAGGAATAATCCCTGAGCATTGCTGGGTATGGCCCCAAAAGCAAAAACTAATAAAGTCACACAGCTTATAACGGACAAAACATACAGAAGTTGAAAAAAAAAAGTGAAGCTCTAACGGGTTAAGCAACTGACTTCAAAGATACAAAACTGCCAGCCACGCAGCCAGCAAACACCAGACTATCTTCACTCCTTAGTCTCGCACCCCTCCACCAGGCACATGTCTGTGGTTTCCCCTTGCTCCCCAGGGCCCCAAGATGATACACCCCATTGCCCTAGGGCTGGCAATGGACTGCAAGCTTCCCTACTGAACCCCAGAGAGCCCAACTCAGCCAGGCCCAGCTTCCCAAGTCTCTGAGAGAACAGAGAACTCTACATTTCTCAATATTTAAACCTTGCCTCTGTACTTGTGTTTTCAAAAAAGCATCATGAGAGCCTAGCAAAACAAGGCCCCGGACCACAACCTTGCAAGAGTCTAAAAATCTGAGCGCTGGGAAGAAGCTCAAAGGGCCGGAGCTCAGGCCTGGCACTCACAGGACCCTGGGTTCAATCTGCAGCACTGCACGGTATCCAAGTACCACCAGGTACAGCCCTGGCGGCCCACACACTGCTGGGGAGTCCCCTAATCTTCCCTTTGCCCCCTTCCCCCCCCAAAAACGCTTTAGTCTAAGGATGAGCTGTCTCCTGTCCAAAAACGTCAGCAATCACGGCTGCTAAGTCAAGCTTAGTCACAAGTCCCCTCGACGTTCCACAAAGATTTACACGGGATTTGCCCGAGATTCAAACCTTTAGCTCTGGTTAAGTAAGTCCCTTGCAGGCCCTTTCCAGCGTGGATATGCAACCACGAAAATGCCCAACGCTCTAGACAGCGCCTGCGAGATTTTGCATATTTCAGATTCCTTCAAAGGCCTTTCAATCCCCTGTTTGAAAGTCACCCCACATGAAAGCAGCTCCAGAAAGCACTTCCCACGTCCCAGTCTGCTGCGGCCTCGCCTCCGGCCTCTGCAGGAGCCCCACAGTGCTGTGGACCAGGCAAGAATTCCAGCCCAGGACACCGCAGCTCGTTTCCCGGAGTCCTTCTAGAATCAGCTGGAGTGCCTTGAGGAAATGAGTCAAAATCCTCAGGGCAAGTTCCAGCAGCCAACAACAGTCAACAACAGCAGCAAAAGCCATCAGCACAATATCTGTCCAGACAGGCGCTGCCAGAGACACCCGCAACACACACCGCTGACAAGAATTTGTTGGGGAAGCAGAAAGACTGAGGGACCACATCCAGGCTCAGGCAGGGCCAGTACCCACTCCTGGGGTGCAGCGCTGCTCGGGGTGGGTGGGTTGGAGGTCCCTTTCACAAGAATGCTACAAGTATTAACAATGCTGAGACCTTTTCTTTTTATTTTCTTCAGTGGAGGACGGAAAAAGTATTTTTAAAAGGTCAACCAACTCTACAGTCATTTTTTGAGAGAACATTTTTTTGAAAAGAGTTTCTCTCTCCTCACTTCTGAGAGGCTAAGGAACAGGACAGCTAATACCTCATGCGATCGCTCGGTCACACCACAAGGTCAAAGGCCCTAGTCAGGCAATCCTTCAAATTCAAGAACTCAGACAAGGGGCTGAAGCGATAGCACAACGGGTAGGGCATTTGCCTTGCATGCGGCCGACCCGAGTTTGATTCCCAGCATCCCATATGGTCCCCTGAGCACCACCAAGAGTAATTCCTGAGTGCATGAGCCAGGAGTAACCCCTGAGCAGCGCCAGGTGTGACCCCCCCCCAAAAAAAATGAAAGAAAAAAGAACTCAGTCAACAGGAGCAATCAGAGAGGTAGGTTGATACCTCTAAGATGTTTTTCCACTCAAATTGGGAAAAGTAACATCGTCACACTTTCCTACACCAACCAGGACCAGGATGGAAGAGTGACTCAGGAAACATCTCCCATGGACCCTCACTCCCTCCAAAACCCATTCTGATTCTGTGTGGTCACTGCAGGGTGCATTTGCAGTGACCTGAAGAGGCAACCTCAGATGACACCCCCAATTCTCCGGGGACATGACTTAAGCTCAGCCAGCTTCTCTCACCCAAAATGGTGGGTGCAGAAATTTCAGGTCAAGGTCCCAGCCTGGCACACAGTAGGTCCATCCCAACCTTGCCAGGAAATCTAGGACATGGTAGAAAGCACGTCTTCACAGCACCACAATGGCTGCCATTTCTTTTTCAAAACATGACTAAATTTTTTTATTATGCATGATTTATAAAAGCAGAAGAAAAACAATGTGTGGATGGGTGGGATCCGGGAAATATCTGGGCTCCCTTTTAGAGCCACCGTGTCATTTCCAGCTGGGTAAGAACCCACAGTGTCCTGTGTCCAGCTGCTGGGGATGACTCCTCAGGCACCTGCAGGAGGAGCAAGAGGGAAGCTGGGAGTGACCATTTCTCACCAGCTTCTCCTGCTGGACACAGGCATAGTAAACGCTGCCTGGAGTTATATCCTGCAACAGACTCAGACCCTGCAAGCCCTCGGAGAGAAACTGAGGCCTGTGTAGACTGAGGAGAGGATGGACCACCTGAGTCCAGCAGAACTGTAGCCCACAATCAGCACATGGGTTCTGCATCTATTGTCAGTGCCAGCAACCATACTCAGGGCCTCACACATTCGAGGCTGTGCACTCTGAGGCGTCTTTGACACCGGTAGAGAATTGTCCAGGTTGGCTCATGCTGTGGAGGCCTCCCTGTGCTCTGGGGGAAGTGGAGTGTTCTAGAATCTCAGCCATGAAATGGCTGGGAGAAAGGACACCCAGAAGCACAGGGCATGGCTTTTTTTGAGGCACCCCATTACCCCAGCAGGAGCCAGACCTGACAATTTCTTTTACCTAAAAAATCTCAATGCAGCAATACCGTTCTAAGCAAGGAGGAAAAAAAAAACGCTGAATTTATTCATTTTTAAAGGGGGAGGGGAGTTCTGTGGGATCTGTCTCTCCGGGGCCTTAGCTAAAATTAAAATTAAGAAAATGCACGGGACTATCAAGGTACAAGGCGGACACACAGATGGAATCCAGAGCCTCAGTCCGGATCCTCCCACCCCCAGCCTGAGGGATCCAGGTGTCAGCCTCTTCCCCACAGGAAAGCCCTCACAATGCTCATGACAAGACCAGAGCTGGGCAGCGACTTCAGACCACCGGTGAAAACTGACCAGCGGTCAATCCAGTCCCACAATAGTTCATCAGCACGCTTCCTTTCCAGTCCCTGATTTTTCAATTCAGATTCACTTTTTTGTCCTTCACATCACCAGGGTGGCCTTCAAGGTTAAAAAAAAAAAAAAAGACCTGGGAAGGGGGCTTTAGGAGAGAGTATGCAACAACCCACCCTTTTAGGGTTCGTCGGTGATTCCCAGGGAAAGAAAAAAAAGCAACAGGGAGGGGGTGAAAAAAAGGGTAGGAATCCTAGGGAGGGAGGGGCCCTGGAGGCTGCACATCTTCCTCCCGCCGCCCTAAAACCCAAGTTCCCGCGCAGACAGACGCGGATTTTCCTAATCTTGGAGCTTTAAGATCCTTGCCAGGAAGATGTAGCCGCAAAGTTCCACGCCATCTCCCACCCCCATCTCCCACCCCCGAGCTCGGGCAGCCCAGTGTTAATGCTTTCACGTGGGAACGAGGAGCTGCGATCTTAGGGAGGGGAAAAAAAATTGCACGAGGACCGGCGATTGCAAACAGGTCGCAGATCTCGGACACCAAGACGAGGGATTTGCACACCCCGGCTCGGCAGGCTGGGGATGGGCGCTGGAGGTAGTGGCCCGGGGCTCGGGATCAGTTTTCCAGCGCCCGGTCCGGTCCTTGCCTTCCCCGGGTGCAGGCGACAAACGCTGCCACCAGCCGCTCCGAGGAGGCGCGTGGCGGCCGAGAAACGACAAGAGGGGTGGCGGAAAGGGGGCGAGAGCCTCTGGCACCGGCTTCACCAGAAGCAAAAAAAAAAAAAAAAGTCTGCAACCTAGCGGCTGCTTTGCTCGCTCCCTGCCCAAGTTGTGTCCCCCGTCGCCGCCACCAGCGCCCCCACCCCCCACCCCCAGCTCCGCGGGGTCGGTCGGTCGCGGAGTCGCACGCCGTCCGGCCTCCGAGCGAAAAACAGAAGCAGAAACGGGGGTGCAGGGTGGGGGGGGGGGTGAAGGGTGGGAGGGGAGGGGGCGTTGGAGGGTGCCGCACGCAGCCGAAGCACTCGGGTCCCACGGGTGGCGCCGCGGGCCGGTCCCCAGCTCCGGGCGGGCACAAAGGGCGCCCGCGGTCGGAGGAGAGCAGCGGCCGCCGAGCCCAGCCAGGAAAAAGCCTCTGCAACTTTGCCCTGGGCGCGACACGGAACCTCCGCGATGCGGGACACACACGCGCAACTTTTAACAAAAGGAAGCCGCCGCCACCGCGCCGGGCTGCGATCTGGGCTGGGGCTGGGGGTGGAGGGGGCGAAGCCCCCCAGAACGCCCGCCTGCCTCTGCCCCGGCGCGCCCTCAGCACAAAAGCCACCCCAAACTGGCCCGCCACCCTCCGCCTGAACCTTTCTCACGCCGGCGCGCCCCCGTCGCTGTCCTCGCAGCGAGATGCGCCCCCCTCCCCGCCGGCCGCACGCGCGGACCCCTTTCCCACACCCCCGACGCCCCCCACCACCAAGCTGGGGACTCCTCGCACAGGTGAGCGAGGGCGCCAGGGCGCGGGAGAGTCCCGGGGACGCCTCGAAGCTTCCCCCGCCGCTGCAACGCGTGGACACCCGCGGCCAAAGAGCCCGGCGGGCCGGCCCGACGCCTCCCGGGGGTGGGGGGCGCCCTCCGGGACCACCACCACCCGCCCTCTCCCCGAGGCGCGTCCCGCCCGCCGCGCCCGGCCCGCCGCGCCTCCTCCCACCTGTCTGGACGCGGAGCAGCAGGAGCAGGACGCCGAGCAGATCCCAGGCGCCGCGAGCGCCTCTCATCGCGGTGGCTGCGCGGGGGACCGGAGCTCCGTTCCACGTTCCAGCTCGCGCCCAAGTGCACGGAGCCGCGGCCGAGCCGAGCCCCCAGAGCCGCGAGCGGCGCGCGGCAGCCCCTCCTCCCTGCGCCCTCCCCCTGCGCGCCGGCCACGCCCCTTCTCGGCGCCCCTCCTCGCCTCCCCCCTCCCCAGCCCGCCGCGCCTGACCCCTGGCGCCTTCGACGTGCTACTCCCGGAGGGGCTGAGCCCGGAGGGAGTCGGGGGTGGGGGGGGCGGGGTGGGGAGGGCTCGCTCGCCCACCGCCCGCCCCCCACACTCCCCCGGCTCCGGCCGCCGGCTCCCGACCCCGGAGCCCCTGCGGGTCTCCCCCCACCTCCCCGCCCCCCCAGTGATGTGGTCCGGCCGCCGGAGGCGGTTCCCCGGACCAGGCGGGTGCAGCCCGCGCGCTTTGTGAAGCCTTGGGCACCGCGCGCACGTGAGGGCACGGGCCCCGCCACCTGCCAGGTGCTCCCCAGACAATAAAGGTCCGCCGCCCGCCCCTCGGGCACGCTCCCCCGGGGGCCGGCTGGACGCCGCTGCTGTGGGGCAGGGGTGGAGGGTGGTGGTGCTGGTGGTGAGGGGACTGGGAGGCGGTGGGGTCGGGGGGATTGGGCCCCGACAGTCTTCTCCATTCCGAGGAGTGGAAGGGGCCCGAGCGTGGCGCCGAACACCGCGGAGAACTGGCTGAGCCTGGGGTCCGGGATTCTTTATGCTCAGTTTCTCCACCTGCTCCTTAACCTGGAAGAGCACAGATGGTTTCTATTGGTCCGCGTAACCAGCCCCTGCCGAGACTTTAATGCAATCTGGGGTTTTGCCCGGGAGGGGGGGAGGGAAGCCTTGCGAAGTTTGTTCTGGGAGCCAGCGTTTTGAAACCCATTTATGCTGAAGTCCTAAAGCTGAGCCCTCTGGGCGCTTTATTATTATTATTATTTTCTTTTTTTCCCTGTAGGATTCCTCTTACAAGAGGACAGTTAACGCTAGTGGGGATCCTCGCCTTCCTATTTGCTGCCCTAGTCTGGACCAGGAGCCAAAATAACAGCAAAATGATTCTCTTAAACCAGACTCCACTACCTAGATAGTGCTTTATCCCAAGTCGGAGGACTTACGGTTGTTCTCTGTGCTGATAGCATTTGGTGCTCACACGACTAGCTTTGTGAGCTGGGCAGAGTAGAGCAGGATTAGGAAGTCTAGTCGTCAGAGTGGCCCCAGTTCACAGGGTTAAAAGATGGGACACCCAGTTACTTTGAAACTGTGTCCAAGTAGGATGCATTTTCCCTGTGCATCTAATGAATCTGCAGAAACCCCCACCACACACACTTCCAGAAGGCTCTAGAACAGAGAATAAATGAGCCACACCTCTAAGTATACACCATGGGGTAATTTTTTTCTTAATTTTTATTAGTGAAACACCATCAGGTACAGTTGTAAACTTACAAATTTTTGTGCTTGGGTTTCAGTTATACAATGATCGAGTACCCATCCCTCCACCAGTGCCCATTCTCAACCACCACATATCCTGGTATCCCTCCCACCCACCCCCATCTCCCCCATCCCACCCTGCCTCTGTGGCAGACCATTCCCTTTTGTTCTCTCTCTCTCTCTCTCTCTCTCTCTCTCTCTCTCTCTCTCTCTCTCTCTCCTTTTGGGTGCTGTGATTTGCAAAAGAGGCATTGAGAGGCAATCATGTTCGATCTATAGTCTACTTTCAGCATGCATCTCCCATCCTGGGAGGATCCTCCCAACACCCTTTATTTGGTGCTCCCTTCTCTATCTGAACTGTCCTTTCCCCTAGAATACCCAGCTGGCCTCCAAGCCATGGAGTAAACTTCCTGGTATTTATCTCTGCTATTCTTGGGTGTTAGTCTCCTATTTTGTTATTTGATGTTCCCCAGATGAATGCAATCTTTCTATGTCTATCCCTTTCTTTCTGACTCACTTCGATTAGCATGATACTTTCCATGTAGTACCACTTGTATGTAAATTTCATGACTTCATCTTTTCTAACAGCTACATAGTACTCCATTGTGTAGATGTACCAAAGTTTCTTTAACCAGTCATCTGTTCTCAGGCACTCAGGTTTTTTCCAGATTCTAGCTATTGTAAACAGTGCTGCAATGAACAAACAATTACAGATGTCACTTCGACTATACTTTTTTGCCTCTCTGGGATATATTCCCAGGAGTGGTATTGCTGGGTCAAATGGGAGCTCAATTTCTAATTTTTGGAGAATTGTCCATACTGTTTTCCAAAAGGACTGAACCATTCAGCATTCCCACCAGCAATGAAGGAAGGTCCCTTTCTCACCACATTTGCGCCAACACTGCTTGCTTTTATTCTTTTGGATGTGGACCAGTCTGTGTGGTGTGAAATGATATCTCATTGTTGTTTTGATCTGCATCTCCCTGATGATTAATGATGTACAGCATTTTCTCATGTGCCTTTTAGCCATTCGGATTTCTTCTGTGAGAAAGTTTCTGTTCATTTCGTCACCCCATGTTTTGATGGGGTTGGATGTTTTCTTCTTGTGGAGTTCAACCAGTACTTTGTATATCCTTGATATCAACCCGTTCTCGGATGTGTATTGAGCGAATATCCTTTCCCATTCTGTAGACTGTCTTTGTATTTTGGTCACTGTTTCTTTTGAGGTGCAGAAGCTTCTTAGTTTAAGATAGTCCCATTTGTCTATCTCTGTTTTCACTTGTTTGGCCACTGGTGTGACACCTTTGAAGATACCATTAGCTTCAATGTCATGGAGGGTTGTGCCAACTTTGTCTTCAATGTACCTTATGGATTCCAGTCTGATGTGGAGGTCTTTAATCCATTTTGATCTTACTTTTGTACATGGTGTTAGGCAGAGATCTGAGCCCATTTTTTTTGCATGTAGCTGTCCAGTTTTGCCAGCACAATTTGTTAAAGAGGCTTTCCTTGTTCCACTTCACATTTCTTGCTCCCTTATCAAAGATAAGATGATCATATTTTGGGGAGAGATGTCAGTATATTCAAACCTGTTCCATTGGTCTGCGGTTCTCCTTTGTTCCAGTACCATGCTGTTTTAATTATTACTGCTTTGTAGTAGAGTTTGAAGTTAGGGAGGTTGATTCCTCCCATTTTCTTTTTCCCAAGAATTGCTGTAGATATTTGTGGGGGCTTATTGTTCCAAATGAATTTCAGGAGCGTTTGCGCCATTTCTTTTAAGAATGTCATGGGTATTGTTATAGGGATCACACTGAATTTGTACAATGCTTTTGGAAGTATTGCCATTTTGACAATGTTAATTCTCCCAATCCATGTGCAGGGGATATCCTTCCATTTTCTTGTGTCCTCTTTTATTTCCTGGCGTAGCGTTTTGTAGTTTTCTTTGTACAGGTCCTTTACTTCCTTAGTTAAGCTAATTCTGAACTATGGGGTGATCTAGACACACCCAGACTCTTCCCTATACTATCACCCACCATTTATAATTGACCAGCTCCCTTTGCCTCTTCATTGAATTTTGAAAGCTCTCCTATTGGATGCTGGTAGGACTTCAGCTAGTTTACGGACAATGATTTGGAATGTAGCTCCAAAGTAGAGCATGTGTGAGGCCCTGGATTCAATCCCCAGCACAGGGAGAAAGAAAGAAGAAAAGAGTTTTCTTTGGGGGAGGAGAAATTGGGACTATACTTCATGGTGCGTGCTTGGAGACTCAAACCAAGTCTTGTTTAATCCTTTGGTTTTTCTCTTGATCTGAAAAGACTTTTGAAGCTAATCACTTAGCAGCTATCACTCCTAGATCAATATATACGATTACCACTCTTTACATTTATTTCTGCAGCCAGCCAGCATCTAAATATCCACAGTGAAGCAAAAAGGAGCTCTTAGGCCCAAATGCACTATTGTTCTTAGACAAATCAGCCACAAACCTTACAGTCCAGCATGAGTAGGCCCATCCTAAAACTCTTGCAAATGCTTCAAGTTCCACAAATATGGGAGAACTGAAATTAAAAGATCTCCATGCTCTGATCCATTGGACCACATCTTATTCTTAGAATTTCAGAGATAAACGATACCACTCAGAGAAATCGTAAGTTTCTAGGATCTTGATCTATTTATAAAATCCATTTTGTGGTGAGAAAAGAAATCACTATGAGTTAAAATATCAACATTATGCCTGAGAGAGAAAATTTACAATTTTCTTCTTCAATCAACTGATATTGGAGAGGATAACAAGTCTCCAGAAGAGAGGGTGAAAAGAGACCATATTGCAATTTAATTCAAGGCAGGAAACTTCTATCAGGGAGAGAGAAGAAAATTCAAGATGGGGAATTACACAATGCTGAGCTGGGCTCATTCATGGTCACCATTTAGCGGAAATTTATTGAGCATATAGGTAGTGATGAGATTTACAAAAATCACTAAGACCAAGTCACTGCCTGGGGAAATTCACACTGTGGGAAGGAAGACAGATGTCCAAATCAGAATCTATAATATCTATTAACTGGCTTACGTTCTGAAGTTCACACTGATGGTTAATAGAACATTAAAATCCTGTACTGACTGGGTCAAGGCCATTCCCCTTAACACTTACTTGTCCCCTCACTCCCAACTCCTTTCTGAGATCCCCAATCTCAAATTCATCAATGAAGGATTTAATGTCAGGCGTGTGGGTGCCTCCAGCCTGTGCCTTTGGGGCTGTTATCTGTTCCTAATGATAGCCACATCTGCAGAAGATATACTGATAATGATCTATATCATAAGTGATATCCAGCAGAAACATTTATGATGATGGAAATGTTTTATGTCTCAGCATACACAGGACAGTTCGTGTTCTGAGATCCCGGGACCCTTTTCTGAATTATCTTTGATATATCTTATTGTTTTCATCATTGTATTGGTGACCACTCTGGATAACAACATGTAGAAGTCTGAAGTTCAGCAAAGATACTCAAGTAATGCTGGCTTTGTAAGTGGAAAGTGCAGTGATGTATGGTTACAGACTTTTCTAGATCTAAGGACTCAACATGATTAGGATTTGACTGTGTTGGTGATGGCTTGGTTCTGTACATGCATTTTTTCCTGATCCAGCC